TTTTGTAATTTAAGAATTATATATGATTGACTGAATCACCCAGGTATTAACAACAAATAAATTAATATTTTCATAGTTTCAATTAGGAAATCGAAACAAGAAAACAAGAATGGACAGTCTCACTCTCAAAAACAGAGGTTGTTTATTGGCATTTCCAGTGAAGAACCTTTAAAGGAATAGTTCACCCAAATTTACTCATCTCCAGGCCATCCAAGATGTAGATGAGTTTGTTTCTTCATGGGAACAGATTTGGAGAAATGTAGCATTACATCACTTGCTGGGTCCCTCTGCAGTGAATGGGTGCCGTCAGAATGAGAGTCCAAGCAGCTGATAAAAACATCACAGTAATCCACAAGTAATCCACAGGACACATTAATGTCCTGTGAAGTTAAAAAACAAATCCATCATTTTTTTTTTTACTACAAATTGTTGCTTCTGGCTAAAACTCCTCTATAATATCTCGTCTGAATCAGGAGAGAAATATGCACAGATCAAGTGTTTACAAGTGAAAACAGTACAAAACATATTGGTGAATTTTGATGGATTTGTTTCATACAAACACGCAGCTTTTCACTATATGTTAATTAATGAACCGGAGTCATGTGGATTATTGTGATGTTTTTATCAGCTGTTTGGACTCTCATTCTGACAGCAGCACCCATTTTTGAATGAACTGTTCCTTTAAGATCCATTGAAACTTTCCAATGCACAAAAGGTTCTTTATAGTGGAAAGAAATTCTTAAGAATATTAAAATGCTCTTTACACTAAGAAAGCTGTTCACTTAAAGATTCTTTAGGGAACCTAAAATGGATCTTCTATGTTATATGAAAACCTAATTTGCACCCTTTATTTTTAAGAATGCAGTACACTCTGCTTCAGGGAATCTGGTTCTGTTACGTAATAACCAGCAGCACATGCTAATGGGATCCAGCTGTGAATTTGTTTTCAGGAGACTGAGCGCTTGCACATGGAGCAGGTCATGCTGCAGAGGCAGGTGAGCTGCCTGCAACTGGAGAAAGAGCAGCTGAAAATGCTACTGGCATCCCATGCGTCCATCTGCACACTGGCACAGGACAAACCTCATTCCCTGGACACTTTTTTGTCAGGAGAGCCCCTACCATCCAAAATATCCATTCCATCACAATAAAACAGGAACCTCTGGATGACGTAAGTGGGTCGGGACATTTGGCACTCCAACAGACGGAGAAATGCTCTGAATTACACTAAATTCAATGAAGACGATGACGCACCAGCGCTTTTTATTTAATATCTTTGTAAATACCTCATTACCACTACTAAAGAGACACTCTGTGTTCAACATCCAACTTTTCCTGTGTTAAGAAACCCATTGCAGATGAGAGTGAAATCACTTCTGGTGCTCTTTTTTCCTTGTTTCCATGTAGTGACCATGTCTATTATAACTGTCTTTGAAATAGCAATGATATTTTTTTTTAACAATGGCTGTAAATGACTGGTATTTTTTTATTGTGAGATGTCTAACTCTAAATGCACTGACATTATATGTTTAACAAATAAACAAAAAGGGCTCGACAACAAGAAACATATTGAAAATGATTGTAAATTGTACTGAGTTATCTAGCTGGCTTTAAAGTTAATAATCTGTAATCATTTGGAAGCATCATTTAGAATGGTTTGAAAATTGAAAACCAAATCAATATTGTTTAAAATATTTTAATAAAAATGAAATGTTCAGTAAAGAATTAAAACGTGTTTAGACTTGTTTAACAATTAAATAAACGAAAACAATTTTTCTACGTTTATCACAGACACATACATCTCTGCATGTCTCTGTTTCATATCTCAGCAAATCTCTGTTTTGAATGAAGCAAAACTGCTAACATGTTCAGACTATATGTAACTTCATGAGTATACAAACGCATTCTTGCTCAATATATTCTGAGAAAATATTACAATGTATTTTACATAAAAATATGAATGCAATTAACTTTTTCATTATTTATTTATTTGTTTTCATTGATACTTGAGGACAAGTAAAAGCATTCGTTTATCCAGAATGAAAATTCAGTTATTATTTACTCACCCTTTATGTCATTCCAAACCTGCAGTTCTTCTTTTTTCTTCAGGACTCCAATGAAAATATTTTGAAGATTTTTTGTCCATACAGTGGACATACTATATTGTTGTATACTTAATGTATAGGCAAAAAAACAATCAAATCAATACACTGATATTCACTGAAAATATCTCATTTTATGAGGGGTTTAGAAAACATGAGGATGAGTAAATGATGACACAATTTCCATTTTTGGGTGAACTATCCTTTTAAGCAGTAAGAGTTGCATGCAACAAGATACAGCATGCCACATAGCATGTAATAAATGGAGGATATTTTGACATCTGCACAGGCAATGCCCAGACATGCACGAAGAGCCCCCCTTCCCCATCCCGTTACAAAGGAGGAGGATTTCCACTCCGCTGTGGGCATGAGTTCCTGTTTGGGATTTGGGAATCTGACTTTCAATTCACAGAGGCCTTTGCATTTTCTATTTAAAGGTCACAGGATATTATGAAAAAAATCCCCTAAACTTTTAATAGCTTTCTTCAGGTATGAAATAGGAAGAATGGTGTTAAGTGTCCGGCGTTCACACAGAGAAGAAACCTTGACTCGCATTTCCTTTTAAAAACAGATCTTGTATGTTGCTCAACCAGTAAGATGGATATCTATTACTATATATAGTATACTCAGTAAAAAAGAAGAGAACTTCAGTATGAAATATGTCTTGTAAACTTGTCTTGTAAACACTATTACATTATTTCATTGTTATATTGATTATCTTTTGATTTTTAAGATCATTTCAGATTTAGTTGCAATGTAACAGAAAATAAGAAGATCAACAAAGGGATCAGGACAAAAGAGAAAAAGATAGAAAGCTAAATACACCGATTCCAAAGTAATTGGACCCTTGATTAGAAATGTATGGCATTTCATTAGATAACAAAACAAAACGTTACATTCATATATACATTCATGTGTCAAAATAAAAATAAAGGTTATTTTTTTGCCATTCAATTAAATTCAAATGTATTTGTATAACGCTTTTCACAATACACATTGTTTCAAAGCAGCTTTACAGAAAATGCATGTGTCCACATTACAATTTAGAGTGATCTGTTATCAGAAGTGATTGTGTCCAAGTAATGTTCATTTAACAAATGAACAGTTCAGGGTAATAGAATCATACAGTTAGCTAAACAGAAGCTCATTAAAGCGATTACAAATGTGATCATAATGATTACAATATAGAGAAAATTTGGCAGCTGTGCATGTCGATTCAAGTTGGCGTCATCTGGGGTCCTCGCAGGGGTCAGCATCATCTCTTCACAGGTGTTGGGTCATCTGAAGTCTTTCTATGAGGCTGGATCCACACTGGAGCTGGTGTAATCACAAGATACCTCGAGATGGGCATCCCGGGGTAGGAACAGAAAGACAAATGGAAAAGAATTAGCATAGCTGTTGTTCATAACGTTTCAAACAAAAAAATTGTCTGAAGAGTTGTGTCTTTCATCTAGATTTAAACAGAGAGAGTGTGTTTGAGCCCCGGACATTATCAGGAAGGCTCCAGAGTTTGGGATCCAGATGAGAAAATGCTCTCCCTCCTTTAGTGGACTTAGATATCCTAGGTACTAAAAGTCCAGAGTTTTGTGACCTTAAAGAGCGTGATGGATTATAGGGCATACGAAGATCGGTTAAATATACAGGGGCTAAACCATTTAGTGCCTTATAGGTCAGTAGCAATATTTTGAAATCAATATTAATAGGTGTGGGTAATATGATCATATTTTTTTGACCTGGTAAGAACTCTAGCAGTTGCATTTTGGACAAACTGTAGCTTGTTTATTGACGATGCAGGGCAACCAGCTAGTAGTGCATTACAGTAATCTAGTCGAGAGGTCATGAATGCATCAACTAGTTTTTCTGCGTCAGAAACAGATAACATGTTCCGTAGCTTAGCAATGTTTCTGAGGTGGAAGAAGACTGTTTTTAATCTCCAGCAGAGATTCTGTGTGCAGGTTTTTGGTCCAATAAGTAATACCTCAATCTTGTCTGAATTTGCCAACTTGGATAGTTTAGAAATTTCATCTGGTCATGATGAAATATATAACTGAGTATCATCCGCATAGCAGTGGAAACTAATTCCATGTTTTCTAATAATGTTGCCAAGTGGCAGCATGTATATTGAAAATAACAGAGGGCCTAGCACAGATCCTTGCGGCACCCCATAATTTACTGATGTTAACGCGGATTTTTCACCATTTAAGTAGACAAAATGGTAACGTTGTTCTAAGTACGATCTAAACCACTGTAATGCCTGTCCCTGAATACCAGTGTAATTTTGTAGTCGGCCTAAGAGTATGTCACGGTCTATAGTGTCGAATGCAGCACCATGGATGGTTATATATGAAGGAAAAAAGGTTACTCATACTGGATAAAGGTTTTTTAGAACTTTATAATGTTATAGAAAAATATTCTTTTAAGAAACGCTCCCTGGACGGTTCTTTGGGAAACCTAAAATGGTTCTTCTATGGCATTCCTGAAAAAACACCCTATTTGGAATTTTTTTTATTTATTTTTTTACACAGTGTGTACTCTGCAACAAAGACACCTGTGTGAACTTGTGGGGAACTGACTTCATACATTCATTTAAAACACCTTAAAAGTAAATACAAAAATGACTAAGAAGAGTGGCTATAAGTTCTGTGAAATTATCTCTTTGCCCTTCTTCTAATGCTTGTAAGTTTGTTGTTTCACTGAATGTGTCTTTCCTCAAAACTACAATAAATCTTAAAATCTATCAAAAATCACAAGTCACAAAAATCGCAGCCTCCAGCAAAACCACACAGTTTAGAGCCAGACAAGGCGGACACTCCTCGCGTTCACACCTGGAGCCAGGCGTGGCTCCGAATTCCACTTCCTCCTCACCCGCATCATTACGTTTAAGTAACACATCACCAAAAACTTAGGCGACTTCAGGAGTGGTTATTACTTTGATGTAACTGAGCACAGAGAAGGATCTACTTCAGTATTATGGCAGATAAAGGACCAATTCTTACCTCAGTCATCATTTTCTACCTGTCCATCGGAGCCGCGATATTTCAGATCTTCGAGGAGCCGCATTTAAATGCAGCTCTGGACGATTATAAAAACCGCACTGCCGAGTTATTAATGAAATATCCCTGCTTAAATAAGGATGATTTGGACCAGATAATTGAGGTAGGCTGTATAATTTGATTCCTCAAGGGGTGTTTAGAAAAACAGTTTGTTGATTTTAAGTAGCCTAAACATTTCCAGAACTCTTGGAAAAAGTTCTGAAGTATTTTCCAAGTGTTTTAAGTATCGGTTATTGTTGTTGCCAATATAATAGGAGTGCTTCTCACACAAAAGCGACTACTAAGATGTGTTCGGCTGAATTTACATAATTTAAACACTTTTGCCTTATTTAGTAACACTTTCACGCATTTTCGCATAGAGAACCTTCCTATAAAACAAAGCGAAACCTAAACGTGTCAAATCTCTGGAGGTGAAGGGGGTTGGGGATCCTTAAAAAAAAGACTGAGGCGCGATTGTTCCAAGTTTGTGGGCTCTTCCCCCGTGGGCAATAAAAGTGGCGAAGCCATTCTTAGGAATGTGCTTTTGCCAGTCATACATTATAGAACTCAACTAACTAGTACCACGAGAGAGAGAGCGCGCACGTGCTTTATGCATCGAATATGAAAACAAAGCAATTGTTTTCGCTTTGGTACTATTTTCAAAATTGGTTACCTTCAAAACTTCTAGATCTCATTTTAGGACTCTTTTTTTTTCTTCATCTGACTTAAATACAAGACAAAATCACAAAGAAAGAAAAAAAGTTTAACTCCACCTAGTAAGTTTTATCCACACATAGCATGCATTTAATGTAAATGCCTTATAATACATATATAGGCTACAGTTTACAGTTTCATACATCATCTCATTCTGATTCTGAACAGATTCTGATTCATTTGACACCAATTTAATCCAGCTCAACTTAATGGTTAATCAACAAACCAGTTCTTATACACATTTATCTGGTTTATATGTATAAAAGTTGAAACAGGATAACTCCGTATTGACATCTTATCTCATATGGTAACCACAGATGTTTACTATACACACACGAAGGTGTGTGAGCTTTTGTAATTTGTCACCAGAGAACATGATATTGCAAATGACTAACTCACCCCATCTGAAAACATCAACTATAGTATTAATTCAGTCATGCTGAAAATTTTATGAACGACATCAGTAAGTATGCAGGATATACGGTGCAGTATACAGTAATGGTATTGCTCTGTTCATTAGTGCACGCACTTGTTTTACAACTCTTGGAATGTCATTTACTGTATTGATACTGACATTATGCCATATATTGTGTCAAATCTTGACTAATAACAACTTTTAAAACTAACACTTGTAATGATTGTTATTATGGAAATGTTTTTTTTTCAGTTCGTATTGGTATTCTGCATGTTTTCTTTGACACTAAATATGGTTTACTAACATGAAAACTGTACTTTATAAGTACTGCAACATTTGTCAACCAGAATCTCTAAGGCTGATTTGAAACATGTTGCATTGTTTCATACTGAATTAGCTGATTTTTAAATTTTGCTATATTAAAACTTGAAAAAAGCTACTTTTTTCTAAAACAAACAAAAAAACCTAAACTGTAAAAGCCATTATACTTATGTTTACTGGGCATGATGTAACATGATGTGGCAAAGAGAACCTGTTTCTCAGGTTTTCAGACAACACCATTATTGTGGTGGTGTAGGCTAAATACTGATATTTACATGACCAAGCTGGAAGATAGTGATAAGATGTGTGTTTCTGTTATTCAAAGAGATATGGAAAGTACATTGAAAGTTGTTTCAGTGGTAAAGTTGTCGAGTGGAGTCAGATGGAGATTGAATCTGTGGGACGTCCTACACTCAGTCAATTTAGGTTGGGTGTGTTTGTTTGCATAGTCGCTAATTTAGGCATTTAAATAGCCATGTTTACAGTCACAGAGATAGGCTGACTACAGCCATGCTGACTATAACTTATGTACATGAAGACAAAAATGTATTTTTCTGATATCTCTACAAACACTAAACACTCTTCCTCTTTTCCTGTTGTTTTGACTCATGTATGGAAGCCTGTTTCCGCCTCAGTAAAAAATAAAATGGGTAATCATGAGATGAGATGAAATGAAGACACAATCATGAAATCTATTACAATTTTGAGAAAAAAATAACAGTTGTGACATGTAAAGTCTTCATTTGTCCGATATAAAGTCACAATAACAATAAAGTCACCGTTATCTTTTTTTTATGGAAACAGATTTCTGTACTAATGTGATTTTTCGCAAAGATGTAATTTGAGAGGCATAGAAATCATCTTTCATCATCTTTGTTTTGTTTACAAACATTGTTTATTTCTCTTCTCGTTTCATGCTATGTTGAAATATGCTAATTTGTATTTATTGTTAAATAACATAGTTAACATTCTGTTTTACGTTTCAACATTAGGTTGTGGCTGCGGCGGCTGGAAGAGGTGTGACTGTAACAGGAGAAAACCAATTCAACAACTGGAGTTGGGAGAACGCTGTTATTTTTGCTGCCACAGTCATCACTACCATAGGTAGACACACTGTACTGACTGACTTTTTGTAGGCCTGTTGTAAGTTCGAAATATTTCAAGTTTATATTTTTTTATTATACAAAACCCAGCTGGCACATGACTAACCTTCAAAGTTGAAATGTGGTTGAAATAATGTCAGTAGTTGTTATAATAACAAAAGGTTCACAAAATATTTAGAAATCAATATGAACATTTTAACATGATTTGTATGAAAAATTAGATCTTGAAACCACAACAATGCAATAATTGCAAAATCGAAACTATAAACAGTGATTCAACCTTGCATCATGATGTTGATTCAACCATGAACAAACATTGTTTATTAATTTGTGACAGTGTTAGAGGACAATTAATTCTCATAAATAACGATTCACAGAGTAAAAAGAGCAAATCTTTAATGTTTTAATGTCATAGCATTATTATCAGTAGAAGACTGAATTGAATGTCACTTGGATTTAGAAATACCCAGACCTGTAGGGGTCTTTTATGGAAGCACGTTTCCACCATAGAATAAAAAAGAAAGGTTATTATCAAAATTATTATTATCATTAATCAGTTCAGACCTTTTTACTTGCAATTCTGAGAAGGAAAAAAACCCCTCATAATTGCAAGAAATTAAATTTTAATCGCAAGACAATTCAGACGTTTTTATCCTTATGATAGTGAATTTATATCTCGCAATTTTATGAGTTTATGTCTTGTAATTCTTACTTTTTTCCTCTGAATTTCATCTGCAAATTCTGGTTTTGTTTCTACAACAGAATAAAAATTAAAGGTAATTGCAACTTTTTTTATCTACAGTTTTTATTTTCTTTTCTTGTGGAGAACAAAAGGCTTCCGTACCCAATGATCTGGCTTTAGACCGAATAAAAATGTTTTACACAGACTTGTCTACTCAATGATTACAGGTTATGGCAATGTTGCGCCGAAGACAAATGGAGGCCGTTTATTCTGTATCCTGTATGGGCTCTGTGGCATTCCTCTTTTCCTCACCTGGATAAGTGAGCTGGGTACATTCTTTGGTGGCAGGGCAAAGCGCCTGAGTCAGGTGCTCCTCCACAGAGGCCTCACTGTGGTAAGAACATCATTAACAAAGCCTTCACTTTTTAAAGAGAAAAACAATATTATTAACACCCCTATTCATGTTTTCTCTTTCACTACAGAAAAAAGTACAGTTCATCTGCACAATTGTATTCCTTTTATGGGGTTTCCTGGTTCACTTGATCTTCCCAGCCTTTGTATTCATGGGCTTTGAGAACTGGACTTACTTAGAAGGCCTGTACTTCTCTTTCACCACCTTGACGACTGTTGGTTTTGGTGACTATGTAGCAGGTAACTATACAATTGCAAATAGATTTTTACATTTTTGCTGAAAAAAAATGTGAGTGAGGAGCCCACAAACTGTGCTTGTGGAAAATGACAAATTAAAGGGGTCATATGATGTTGCTAAAAAGAACATTATTTTGTGTATTTGGTGTAATGAAATGTGTTTATGCGGTTTAAGGTTAAAAAAACACATTATTTTCCACATACTGTACATTATTGTTGCTCCTCTATGCCCCGCCTTTCTGAAACGCGTCGATTTTTACAAAGCTCATCGGTCTGAAAAGGAAAAATTGAAATCGCATCATATGACCCCTTTATAGGGGTCTTGAACTGCGTTTGTTTTTTATTTTGTACTGTTCTCTGAGGTCCACCTATAATGTTATAAAAATTTGAACATCAAAAAACATCATCATTTAGAAGTAATAGGCTATTTTCTGTCCTGTTTTGACCCCCTCTCATCGGAACGCTCTGTTTGAATAGGTGTGGCGGATTGTAGACTCAGAAGTAAAAAATCGCATCATATGACCCCTTTATAGGGGTCTTGAACTGCGTTTGTTTTTTATTTTGTACTGTTCTCTGAGGTCCACCTATAATGTTATAAAAATTTGAACATCAAAAAACATCATCATTTAGAAGTAATAGGCTATTTTCTGTCCTGTTTTGACCCCCTCTCATCGGAACGCTCTGTTTGAATAGGCGTGGCAGATTGTAGACTCTGAAGTAAACACCCACTGCTATGATTGGGTAACAGTTGTATATGTTTGACTGCCTAAACACATAAATACCCAGTTCATATCAAACGATCTGTAATAACAGACAAAGCAATAGTGATCACGTAATAAAAACAGTTACTCACACTTGTGTGTTACGACATTACTGTCGGATCCAATATAGTCAGCACAGCATTGTCTTTTACTTTCAATCTTTCTGAAAGTCCTGCGTCGAATTGTGCTTTGTTTGTAAACTAATCCGCTGTAAAAGTGAAGTGAACAAAGGACCAAGTTCTTACTGACGCAACACCACACAGTGTCTTGTTGTCTTCAGAGCCATCTTTATAGTTTGTTTTTTGCGTAGACCTGCGTTTGCCTCTCTCGTTTTTTACACTACATGCATGAATCGGTGGGCGGGGCTAAACAGGCAGTGATGTAGAAGCAGGCGTTGATCTTCTTCTGCGGAGGTGGGGTTTAGCCACACCATTACGTCATAAAGTGACACATTGCACAACCTGTCATTGTGGCAGATTGGCTTCTAAATGTATTTTATACATTCAACAGCAAGGCATGAAAACCAATGTTTTCATCACCACTGCCTTTTGCTTCCTCACTAATAGTATGGCAGTAGTTTCTATAAAGCTGCTTTGGAACAAAATTTTTAATTAAAAGTGGTATGAAAATACATTTGAATTATTTTGAAAATGCTTCTCTAATATTTTGATATTGGTTTGAAAAAGATACACTGTTAACTTAATAAATAAAGTAAATATATACATTTAAAACAAATAAATGTTTTCAAAATACTTTCCAGATAATATTTTGAAAATGTTTTTTTGTTTGTTTTGTTTTCAGTACAATGTCAAATAAAAGCTAATAATTTAATGGGCAAACATGTTGCTTACTATCAGTGTTATTATTAGTATCATTGAGGTAATGTTATAGTTTTTGGTAATATTTTGAATAATTTTTTATTTTCATGTTAATTTTAGTTCAAGTTTTAGTTATTTTGTTGTGTGGTTATGTCATTTTCATTCGTTTTTTTTTTTATATAGTTTATATTAATTTTATTTCAGTTAAATGAAATATCATTTAGTTTTAGTTATTCTGGTATATTGATTTAAACTAAATGAAAATGACAGAATGTTGCTGAAATCTGAATCTGAATTTTATTTTATTTCAGTTAATTTTATTTATTTTCAGTTAATTTAAAGTAACAATTTTTTTATGGTCTTAGTTAACTATAATAACCCTGCTTACTATTTTCCATAAACAGTGAGTAGTCATCAAATTTGGTGGTCTTTGGTAATATAAAGTTAAAAAACCTACTCTTTAAACCCAGTGGGGTCAAAATGTTGCTTGCTCCACTGTTAATCTGAGATGTTGCGAATATCTTAGGTTCATCTCTTGGCGTGCATCTTCATTCTGTTCACTGTACACGTGAACCAACTTATGATGCATCAACATGATGCATTGTTTCCTGTGATTGTGATTCTGTATAAACATATGCTGCTTAAAAACAGCTTCTATGTTGTGTAAAAATAACTCTAGATAGGTAAATGAAACAATTGACTTGTTACGTTGAATAAAGGAAGTTCACTTTGTTTCTCCATGTAGGTGTGAACCCAGATATAGATTACCCAACTCTCTACAGATTCTTCGTGCAGTTATGGATCTGCCTGGGTCTTGCCTGGTTGTCACTGTTCTTCAGCTGGAATGTGCATATGGTGGTCGAGGCTCACAAAGTTCTGAAGAAAAGGAGGCTGAGACGCCACAGGCTGCCCATCGATGACGTACCGAAAAAAAAAGAAGTCAAAAAAGCCTTTAAGCCGTCACCTCGCTCTGGCATCATCGACATCTTTGAGTTCATGTCTGAGAAGGTCGAGGACTACAGCGATGTTATCCGAGCCATCGGAGCAGACGAGAGGAGGAAGAAGAAGCAGGAGGAGGAACTGGCACGGTCCAAGAGCTGTAGTGACCTGCTGCACGGCCTGGTCATCCCACTCGATCACTCTCCTCGTCTAAAACGCCGCTTCAGCGTCAGCGCAAACATGTGCATGGTCACGTCTGGAGAGCCGACGGATGGCCTCAACAACAACCAAGAGGAACAGACTTTACTGAAAGAGCACCAAAGAGACACTAAAAATGTTAGAAAGGAAACGAAGAGCGAAGAGAAGCCTAGACGTTGTGGATGGGACTCCCAGAAATCAGACCCTTCAATCTTTCACAGCCCTGTTCAAAGCCCTACCGTTACCACCAGTAATAGAGGATCAAGATTCTCAGTGTCTAAAATATCAGAAGACCATTTATTAGAGAAGAGAAAAAGCATTGGTTGATGAAGAGTCTGATCTAAAAGGTCAAAAACCAAAAATGTCCTCTGCTCTGCTTTAAATCATGAATTTTCAGATGTGAATGTCACTTTGGCTGAGCTGATACTGTGAGGAGCATATGAGGAACTAAGAAGACATTTCAAAACCAATGAATGTTGCTATGACACGCAGACAGGTGCTTCCTCTACCTAAATCAAGCTGCAGAAGTGTTCGTTGGTTTCCACAGTATTGAAAAGGAGTCAGGTAACACACAGGGTCTTGTGCAGCCAGTCTGTGACCAAGATAAGGATGTGAGGGTTGGCAGAGGAAATGAATCCGATTTCCGTCACAGACGTTGGAAAGTTTGGGTGTGGTACTGTGGTTTTAACCATGGGTTTTTCATTCTTTCTCTGGATTTATGTTACCAAAATGACTGCTAGGAGAAATCTTGGTATATGTTAGGAATGGAATACTAGCGTATTGCTAACCCTGCAGTACAGACTGAATAAAGCACTATTTTTAAAGTAGTCCTCCTTGTTAAATATATCCTAAGCTCTTTGCTACGCCACTAGCAAAGGAGTTGGGATAATAATGACAGTTTTCAAACAGGTTTCCCAAACACTACCCCTGGATTGGTCAGACAACCAGACTGTCCCACCCCAAACTCACGCTATTGGTTGGGCAATGTTTTGATATCATCATAGTGTTTTACACTTTGTCAGAGGGAATCAATGTAATATTAAGCTGAGATTGTGTGTTTATATTTGTGTATACCCATATATAGCTGGAATACAAGGTATTTTAACATAAAAGATTACATACATCACCGTTGAAAAGAGAATGTGAAACAGTATGAAAATAATACTGCATTGTTGTCACATGACCTCATTGTATCCATAAATCAGTGAGTTTCATCAACTTATAATTTATGAGATGAAAAATGGTTATTTTATCCAGTTTGGTGTAAAAAAATGAGTACATTTTTGCAGTTTGATCAAATAACTATTTAGAAAAAGTTGTTGAAACTTTGATAGTGTTGCCAGTTTATTTCATGGTTAAGATGCAGAGTGCACTGTACTGTAGCATACAGTATCCCACACAGAGTTTCGTTGTACTGAACATTTTGTCAAATGTTGTAGGTTGCCAAAGGAGCCAAGGAGTAAAATGGTAGATTGAATTCTGAGTGTATCTTGTGTCTTGAATGCTGTAGTGGTTCTGTGGCTGTTCTTAGGTTCAACTTGCTCTTGGGAAACGTTTTAAGAATCGGCCTGTTGAGGAAGCACCTACTCAGGCTTCCAGAAAATAGATTAGTGGAAGATGTGTTATGGGATGTAACTTGATCTTACCACCTGATTGATATGGGTTTTGCTGGAGAATTTTGCCTTTGTTTGACTCTTTAATTGTCATTTGTATATATATTTTTGTACAAGGTTTCGTGTATGCCACTTTTGGTAATAAAAAAGTATTTTTTTCATAGAACGTCTCTATCTGCTCTTGCCAAACCACATCCGGTCTGTTGGCAGAAGTGATGAAATTAAACATGACTGAACAACCAAGTTCTTTTTAGTTTAGTTAAGTCCTTCCAAACTGCATTGACATATTTTAAAAAACACATAAATTCTCTATAATATATGAAAGCACATGTCTGAATTCAATTATTATCAGTTAACTGTAAAGTTGTTTTTCCAAGCTACAACAGTGGCATTCATAACATTAGTAAAGATTGCCTAAGTGTTTGTAAATTTAGATTTTATTAAATGTTTAGTGTTCAAAGATTAAAACTGAACCTGAATCAGCATTAACATATGCATAATGCAGCATTAACTTACACAATATGAAAACAAAAATCATGAGATAAATTGCTCAAATTTCCATCGGTTACATTTAGACATGAGTTACTTGTAAAATTAGTTACATTTACACAGTCTTCAGCAGCCCTACTTTTTGTACATTTTCATGTTAAATATTTTTCAATAATGCTGGTGTGAAATAGTCCCTATATCCCTTCATGAAACAGAATTATGTATGTGGTCTTGCGCTTTGGTCTGATATTTATTCTGAATGTTTCTCTTGATGCTTTAGCTGTTACCATGCAGTGCATATTTGTATTTGCATATTTGCAAGTCAAGTACAAAGGCTAAACCTCAAGTAGTTTCAATGCTTATGCAACTGCCAGTAATTCAGTAGAGTTACAGTTATGCTTTGTTGGGAATAAACAATTGGTACAGATGGCAGTTGGTCAGTTCAATGTCCTAATGTCGTCATAAGACGTCTTTTTCAGCCTTCCCATCCCAACACTGCAAAAAACATCAGGTCCATTACTGCCATCCTGAGGAACACAGTCTCTCTAGAAAGTCAAAGCACATCCAACATGGAGGATTCCTCTACTGTACAAATTAAGTTGCGGCCACCTTTACCTTTAAGGAGGAATTCCGTTGGCGAAATGCAATCTAAATCACAGTAGGAATTGATGCAATTGGGAATTTCAGCTGAATAACACGAGAAAAATTTCCCCATGCGTATTTCACATCAGAGTCAAGGTTTTTGAAATTTTAACACAGATTTGCTTGTTTTGGAAGTGACTGCTGAGTAAGCGGTGCTTCATGCATCGCTATACTGTTGAAAAAGAACATTTGCCCACAAAATTTTGCAGAAGTTTACTTAAATTGAATAGTTCACGTCTCAAATATCACTCTTCTGTCATCATTTACTTACCCTCATGCCATTCTAAACCGCCTATGACTTTCTTTCTTCTATGGAACACAAAACTTGATTTTCCTAGAATATTCTGAAGATTCTTTTCAATATAAAGACACTAAATAGGGGCTGTCAAACTCCTATTAAAAAATGACAAGTTGCCAGTCTTTTGAAGCCATATGATAGATGATGTTTCATGAAGAAAGCAAGTAATATGGGTTCGGAGCAACATGGAGTAAATTAGGAAAGAACTTTCACTTTAGGGTGAACAAATCCTTTCATTTATTCTCATTCTGTCCTACTAAACCTTCAGATGGACAAAAACCGCACTGCATTGTTTCCCTGCTCCCCTATGAATTGAGGAGCGTGTGCCACTGGCAGACCTGCTGTCCCTCTGACTCCTTCATCTGGGTCCAATGCTCCTCTTGTTCCTCTGTGGTGCTGTTGAGGCCCAGAGCGACCCAACCCACCCGCTCTCTCCTCTTCATGCTGCTCCGCCGACTATACACCGACACCTGCAGGGTGACCTCAGACAGCTGGAACAGTGCCACCTGGAAGACAAATGTCTCTTTGTAGGTTGGGTTGGGCTGGCCACGGCAGACGGAGGTCTTACATTTGGACATCTCTTTGCCTTTGGAGTCCAGCATTGTAAGCTTCACGTAAGTGTCTGATGGAAAGGGAAGGGAAAAAGTGAGTGAGCCCCACCTGTTGGTGATGTTGAGCTCATGCACCAAGTTAAACACATGGGCTATGTTCAGATAGGAGTACTACTACTGTGCAATATATACTGTATCCTGCATATAATTGCAGTACATTATCACATGACCTCATTATGCATACATTTTCATGTTATGCACAGTACTCTATACTGCAGCAATAGAAAAAGTTGTATGATAGCACACTACTAAAAGCCATGGAGATATTTGGCGAATCATGATTTACACACAAATCATACTATGTATTATGCCAGATTAGAGCAAATGCCAAATTATATCACATTGGCAATCAGTACCCAGATAACACTGTTTCTGGTGGATTTTCCAAGTATGCATTCATGAATGCATTTTGAGCTAACATTGCACAGCTGCTTGCGCAACAAAAAGTACTTTCAGAGGTTTGTCATGAACATTTGTGTTGTTGAAAAACTGATCAGTGAATGTGAGGTGAAGCTGCTTTAGCAGTGTTACAATCTATGAACTTTAAATCATTATGGATTTTTTAGGGTAATGAGGTAAGCAAGATGCTAACAACCAGAATTAAAGTCAAACTTACTTTGACACCACCATTGCAGTTTGTAGTTAGTACAAGTAGAGTAATACGGAGTATACATCATTCTAGGCCCCGTTTTCTGGTAATCGCAGATAAAAGCCCCAAATCTCAGGCCAATCAGTGCTCATTCAAGTGAGTGACGATTGGATAGTGTGAAATATTGAAGACACAATCTGAGAGAAGTGCCAATGCGCCGCCGCTGCCCGAGAAATATTTAACAGGCTAAATATCTGGACCTGTCGCCAACCCAGTCTCTTGCAGTGTGAAATGTGTTTTGACTGTAAATTACATCGGCAACAACCTACAGCCAGTGTTGGGAAGGTTACTTTGGAAATGTAATAGATTACAGGTTACAAGTTACCCTATTTAAAATGTAATAGTAGTGTAACTTTTTCAATTACTTTATTAAAGTAATGTAACTTATTACTTTTGATTACTTTTCTAAATTTCTAATGAATGTTTATTTGCAACTGTTAATCATTTTCAAACATTTACACCATGCAGGGTTAATCTTACAGTAGTGCTCAACAATGTCAGACTTTCAAAATCCTTTATCATTTGAATTAAGATGATAATAGTTAATTAAAAAAATAATAATAAATAAAAACATATACATCGATTCAAATAAGGTTATCTAATAAGTATGTGTCCTATTCTGTGTATTAAACTCCTGAAACATTGGTGTCTCTTTGTATGATATGACGATAGCTTTCTCAAAATAAGTAAAACGCTCATGAAGTGACTCAGAACAGTTCTAGAGATTATGTTTTTGTTTTCATGTACTCATATATTGAGGCGGCAGAGGCTGAAAACACCGCGAGCTTCAGTAGGCCTATGCCATATCGTTTTGATTCAAGTGCACTGACGTACTTTTGATTTATTCGTCCAAAATGTGGCATATTCCGTCCGCGTTAGGCTATAGGAATTCCGTTTTTATGACTGGATTCAACGAACCAGTCTATGCTTTCCGCATCGCGGAAATTATAGGGCCGTATGTCTCAGAGTAGTCAGTGCAATTTGGGAAATAAATCAATTAAATCTGTATGTGGATGTGTGTAAATATTCAAATGTAATCCCCTTTGTAATCGTTAACATTTTCATAAGTAACTGTAATTTAATTACACATTTTTTCTTAGTAACTGTAACTGATTACAGTTACATTTATTTTGTAATTAAATTACGTAACGCCGTTACATGTAACTAGTTACTCCCCTAGTTACTTCAAGGGGAGGAGTCGTAGTCTTATGGCATTCCCTGTATCTCTTCCTGCACATGTGTTTTGTAAACAAGACTGAGTTGTAAGGGATTCTTTCTAATGAAATATTGTGCAATGTGTGACTCCCAGTTGCTGATCCGTTGTGTAATGTGCAAACCACAGAAACTTCATGATACCCAAAACATGTGATGTGGTGTGAAAGGAACAGTGATCCAGCAGCTTTAAAATTTGTGTAGTGTATGGCTGGCATTAGTATGCAAACTAGGATTCACTACTGGTGAGTTAGTGATTTTTCACCACTCATAAATATCCCCATGTCTCTACCACCCTTTAAAACCCACTGAAATAGGTGTCCTGAGAAATCGCACTTTCTGCATATTCTGGCTAATCAGATGACTGAGAAATCTAACCGTTAGCATTCCCATTCTCGATGGCAGTTGCTTTGGACCCAGAAGTATGCGACTGTGCTGAGCCAATGAACTGAGCCATAAATGCCATGTGACAAATGATTCTAGAGCTAGAGCCACAGGAAAATAACGTCCAGCAGTGACTAACAGGACCATACTAACTAGCCAAACCTTACTTCCTTGGTTTGCTGGGTTTATTGACATGTCTTTGAAGGGCTATTAGATCTGGTTAGTAGCCCTTCAAAGACATGCCAGGAGGGCGAAATGAATTCACAGCAGATTTATACATTAAAAAATATTGGTATTGCCCTCCCAGCGAGATTTGGGGTTAATTTACTGTAGACCTACAGTGGTGTGAAAAAGTGTTGGCCCCCTTCCTGTTTTTTTTTATTTTTTGCATATTTGTCACAAACATTTTAAATGTATTCAACAGGATTCTACAAATCTACAAATGACAAGGAGTCTACAAATACAGTGCAAAGAGACTTGACTGAACACACAATGGCAGTAAAATGTAGATGCAGTTGAGTAAAGCAGACAAAGTAGGAGAGTGTTAAATGTGTGGTTTTGAGCTTTTGACATGGCAGTAAACTTACCTCTCATGATATATAGTTGCCCACTAATGAAGCGTTTTACACAACAAAACAGGCCAACTACAGGACAGGACACAGAAAAAAGGGAATATGATAGAGTCACAGATAAAAGGAGAGCAGTTCAGTTACAAGCAGAACACAGAAAAAGCATCAAGAATGCACATGCATGAAACAAGTTTGCTTTTAAGAGGATTAAGCAGGTGGACTCTTGCATTTCTTACTGGGCAGTTTATCGGTGGCAGAGTTTTTAAAATGGCTGCCTTTAATAACCTCGGCAGACAGTCTTCCTGTGGTGGAGTTGTAGAGGAGACCCAACAGAAGCTCTGGAGTGGAGGATTCACCAGTGGAGTGGTATGACAGAGCTCCCGCACTACGAGAGACACTCACCACTGATCCACAGACCTGACGAATAGTAATATTAATGGATTACTATTACAAAATGGATAGTTCTAACGCTGAAATCGTATTGGCTATGGAAAAAGTATACTGCATGCACACAAACACTGCTTACAGGAACGGATGTGCCAGGTTCTAGTGTAACAGGCAGAGCAAGCTTGCCCTGCAGATTGAGTTTGGTTAAGTAGAACACCTTCTGCCCTAGGACCTTCTCCTTCTTCATGCGCCGTACACTGTAGAGACGGAACCGGACTGCATAGTCCCCCAAGGCCTCCTTCTCCACGCATGAGAACCGAAATGTCTCTGTGAAGATGGGACAGGGTCCCTTCTGCACTCCTGTCTTGGCCCTCTGCTTCTTGGTGGGCAGTAGAACCAGGTGGACCTGCCAGGAAATGTTCCCTGTGCTCCTAAGGGTTGGAATATCTGTGGCAGCGGTCACGGTCACCGCAAGCCGTTGTTCACTGGGGTCATATTCAAATGCCACATCCAGTGTGCCATATTTCCCCAGTGCCTCTGGTTCATATGTTTCTGGAAGGGGTGGGAGTAAGCTGTCCTGTCAGAGAAAGGGAAAGACAGGGCAGATGGGATAGAGGAAATGGTAATTTATGGATCTGTATTTAAAAAATAAACAGGTCAAAGTTCTTGAGGGTGCCTGTGCTGGTGACAAGGTGGTCCTATAAAGACCATTAAGGAGGTCATATCATAGTTTTTGTAGTTATCTTATTCTTCTTGATGTCATAATTTACTTTTTATGGATGTTTTTCAATCTGCCCGAAATGTCACTGAAACAGTTAAGATCGGAAATTAATAATCAGGAACCTTGTTAAGAATAAAGGTTAGGTCTTTCCCATTGTTAGGAGTCTTCGGACAGATATGCAGAGTGACAGGTGCTACACACATCCAGGAGAAGTAAAACGTTTGGCTAACTTTCAATTTTCCAATAGCAAAATGAACATGGATAGTTTGGAAACACTGAATAGTCATCATTGGTATGTTGATGGTCATGTTTTGAAATGTATTAATTTGACATCAGAAAGTTATTAAAGTTTAGAATGCTGTTTTTGCAGCTTAGTTTCAATAAATGCTCTTTTTGGACTGGGAAGTAAGTTTTGACTACTGAGAGTTACTGTATATAGTACTATGAAATTTCGCCTCCAAAGATCAAGGAATATGATTCCTCATGATACGACGCTCACCGAAGTAGCCTGGTTTCATGTATAGTACAAGAAGTCTATGTCAGTATTCAGGCTTTTAGTGTCTCCAATCACAGGCAAACTCAAAGGCAAACTTACCAGATGTGGCCAGAATGAGCCAAACCCCAGCATGAGAATCCTTGAACTGTCCTCCTTGCTCCTCATAATTAAAACCATCAGTGAAATGACTCATGTGACAATGAAATGAAATTTTAATAATCAGCTGAAAACATTACTTCACAAGAGTCTAAAAGAGAGGACACTAGTGAATGGGAATCCAAACAGACAGGGGAAAAAAATAATTGAAGAGAAATTGATGACAGGCGTCTTAGTTTATCAGTTTGGCATTGCAAAAGCATTATTGTGGATGAACACACTCTGACTCAAAGAAAACAAAATGGATTTTTTTTTAATCTCATGTCAAAAAACATGGGATTTGTGAAAAAAAAAATGTTTGCAAATATTTGTCTCTACATTAACTGCAGTGAACAGCTCTCTTGGAGACATATTAACAACACTGTGTGTGGATTTCATCAGTTTCATTGGTGAATAAGAGCATCTGTAGGTAGGACCGTGATTCTCATAGAAGAACACACCGGAAACGACGGGCCGAGTCGCTCACCTCCGGGCCCAAAACAGCTGTGCTGTCACTGGGGGCGTCCTGCTCACAGCCCTTATTCAGGTAACTCTCTGTGTCCTCAGGGTCTTCACTGCCCTCGCTGATCTCACTTCCACTGCCCTCTGCTGAGTCACTGCGGCCCCTTGAGCCACACTTGAGATCGTCTTTGTCCCGGTACGGTGGAGGCTGAAGTTCATTCAGGGAACTTGAACCTTTTTTCCTTTTAACTGGATAGTGAGACAAAAATGCAAAAAGATTACATCCTGATTACCACATAATTAAGAGTATTTCATCAGACGGTGTACAATATTTTACCCTGCTCAGCAGAGGCCTCACTGCTGCAATCCTCATTCTCAGTATCCTTGTTTCTCCACCCACTTCTCTGCTGATGAGAGTCCTTGTGTCTATTTGGAATTTCGTCCTCACTCTCAGATGATCCTTTCTCTGGACAACCCCCGTCTAAGAAAGAATGGAGATCTACAATTTCAGATTCTAAAAATGCCCTAAAATATCCTACTGTAAACCTTTTGCCGATCCGTGGTATGAAAAAGGAGAAGGAGTGATTATTAATTTTCCTACCCTCTTATAATTTCAAACTCACTGGTATTTTAAAACAAATATTTTAAGAATCTTTACACAGATTTCATAGCTACCGGCTTCAAAAAGAAAAAACACACACACACACACCATAAAATAAAATCTTCATGATCGATATGATAGTTTCATATGAAGTACAAGAGGCAGAGAAGAGACAGAAAAAAGGGACAGAAATTTAAATAATTCATCACTGATAATCTAGCGAATTCTCCCCAGATGCTTGCAACTAGCCTGCATTCGCATCCAGTATTAAAAAATTCCTACTTTTGTGTTTGATGAAAAAAAGAAACAGCTTTAGCCAGTTTTGGCACAACATGAGAGTAACATAATTTTTAAAGGTGAAGTGTTTAATTTTTGAGACAAAACTACTGGCACCAAACACAAAAGTAATGACTGTTTTCAAACAGGTTTCCCACACTCTCCTACTCCAAACCTTTCATCACACCCCAAGTCCACTTCCACTGTTCGAGGAAACAGGTAGCACCACCACAAAACTGATATCCTTTGTTAAATTAGAAGTTGACAAGTTGGCTACAGTGTTCTACTCTTCAAGAAGTCAGCCAATAAATGGCTTAAAGTCATCTCTACATGTCAAATTGGGATATGAAAGTATTTTAGCAGTGAAAACATTACACACTTCACCTATAAACAGGAAAACATCAGTAAAAGCAGGGCCGTCAATAAAATTCACAAGGTCTGGGACATAGTTTTTATAGTTCTCCCCCATCTTTCCTGGGTCCAGTGAGTAGGCCAGTGGTGCTCATTCCTGTTCTTGAAGATCTGATTTTCTAAGTTCCAAGCCTGCTTTAACTTAAATATTTGTAATTATCAAGTGTTCTTTAAAGTCTTTGGTAGCTGGTTAAGATGCTTTTTAATTAGGATTGAAGGTCAACTATGCTGGAAGATAGATCTCCAGGTACAAGACTGAGCAAGCTATGCCATAGACCAGTGGTTCCCAAATTTAGTCCTGGAGTATCCCCAACTCTGCACATTATGGCTGCATTCATCATATGGTTCAAGTGACCCAATAACAATTTTTTCCTCCCACAGATCGGATATGACCCATGAACATGTAAGCAGGAAAAAAGTGAATGGATTCTGATATTCTCAGATCGATTTTGGGTTGGGGGTACTCTGGGACCACATTTGGGAACCACTGCCATAGAGCAGGGGTTTTCAACCTTTTAGGACATGCGCCCCCCCAAGTTTGTCTAATTTCATTCGAATTCAAAATTACTTTAATGTTTAAACTGACAAGACTTAAAACACGTGAGAATGAAAAACTTTCTTGAGGAAGCAGCACTGGCCTGTGAATGTCTCTGAATTAAGTGATGCTCACGCCCCATAGGTTGAAAACCCCTGCCATAGAGAACCCTAGTTGGCCACCATGGTCACATGACAATTTTCCTGGTTGTTCTCCCATTATGATGGCCCTGGTCCAGGAGTAAGTCAGCAAATATTATAAAGAGAAAGGTCCATTTGTGTGTGTCCTTGGTTGAAACCTAGCGTGGAATGAAGCGAACAACCTTTTAGGACATGCGCCCCCCCAAGTTTGTCTAATTTCATTCGAATTCAAAATTACTTTAATGTTTAAACTGACAAGACTTAAAACACGTGAGAATGAAAAACTTTCTTGAGGAAGCAGCACTGGCCTGATTGTTAAGATAGTTTTGGGGGGCTAAGGTGACAGACAGGGGGGCTGAAACCCACCTAAAAAGGGTTTAGAACCGCCCCTGGTATAGCGTGCGTAATTATACTGAAACATAAATATATAACCAGTTTACCTGATTTAATGTGATGGCTGAGCCTGTTTCTGAGATAACAATATGCCAATCCGTGGTTGGATTTCCGACATGGCTAACCGTAAATCATCTTACACTGTCAATAAGCGTGACTGATACTCGAGCCAACTCTGCTCTAACTGTTGACTAGCAGTGGGAGTCAGATTGCCCCCTAGTGGATGGCTAAATATTTGCTAACTCGTATTCATAAATCCTCAAGTGAATGTCTCTGAATTAACTGATGCTCACGCCCCACAGGTTGAAAACCCCTGCCATAGAGAACCCTAGTTGGCCACCATGGTCACATGACAATTTCCTGGTTGTTCTCCCATTATGATGGCCCTGGTCCAGGAGTAAGTCAGCAAATATTATAAAGAGAAAGGTCCATTTGTGTGTGTCCTTGGTTGAAACCTAGCGTGGAATGAAGGGAACAATGGAAAATCAAAGAGAACCGGTGATATAGAACCATCCTGTTAGAAAAGCACAACACAGCAAATCCAGCATCCAGTCTCACCTTTACCTCCTTTGTATTTTTTTCTGCCTGTATCATCTTCCTCAACACTATTGTGCTCTCTATTCTTTTCATACTTTGATGCTGATGTATCAGTATCACCAGACATTTCCTGAGAGTCCTGCGTTTTCTGACTATTACCTGGGTGCATCCCAGTAGCATTTTCATTGTGGTTGTCACCTTCCTCCTTGTGTTTGCCAGACGAGGAAGCGTTCTCTTCCTGAGCGACAGACTCTGCCTCTTTTGATGCTTGGTCATTGTTCCCTTTCTGGTTTTCTGAGGTCAGAGACAAGCTTTGTGGTTGGTTTGGGTCCCTCTTTTTACGATACCAACCTTTAGCGGGGGCGTAACACCACTCCCACTCCTCCTCCTCAGTTTTTCTTGCTTCCTCTTGTCTTTCTTTCTCCCTCTGGTTTTCCTCTTCATTTATTTCAATAGTCCACATAGAGTTCTTTTTCGATTTTCGGCTCTTCCGACCTTCTCCTTCTCCACTGTCCGCAGCATTACCTTCTGTCTCCTGATGCTTCAGCTTGCTGTTCCTCCTCTCCTTTCGGACTTCTTCTTCAGAACCCTCAGCCTCCTCTTTCCCGGATTTGTCATCCTCTTCGGGCTGTACTTTGTTGATGATTGTATTGACCTGCTCCGATAGTTGGTCACTGACAGTGTAGGTGACATCACTCACTGCAGAGGACAAATCGTCCACAGCAGTTGAGACGGTGTTTGTGACAGAGTCCAAGAGGGAACTGACAGAAGGGAGGCTCTGTTGGAAGCTCTTGAAAAACGCCATTGCTTTGTGCCTTTGGTGTGTCTGCTAACTGACCACAAATTCTGTTGAAGAGTCAACTGGCACATTAATCATTAGGATCTTTCACCAGTAACATTGTGTTTGTAAGCATGTCGTATTTAAGGACCAAGGATGACATACAAGTGTTTTAAAAACTAGCATTTCTAAGATCCATTTAAAATTGTACAAAGACTGCTCACTAGGATTCGATACACGGCCATATACATGTGAACAGTGTATGCATTCATTGAAAACTCTTTAAGTATTTACCTTGCAAACCTTTGTTAAAACCTTCCAAATGTGGCAGATCACTGCTTGGACTCTCCACTGACAGCTTGCTGCTGAGGTATAGAAAAAACAGAGCGATCACGGCCATGAAGATAGCAATGGAGGACAGGACACCTAGCAGTTCAGGAGATACTAAAGGAAAAAAGAGAAACAGAGAAAGAGAAAGCATAGGGTTGGAGGATAAAAGCTGAGAAAGTAAAGGTCAAGAGTTGAGAATTTGATCTACGTAGATAACAGAAAAGCCCTGTAGATGGTGATGGATGCTATCATGAGTTCCTCCAGTAATGACAGGGCAACAAACCTTGGTATCATTTCCTTAAAGGAAAAGTTAGTCTCAGTGTCAATATAGTACAAATCACACTGCCGTTGCTCTATTACCTTCATGGTTTTATTAATATGGATGGATGACTAGACAGCTTTAGAGAACTTTCAGACAGTTTGATGCCCTTCATATATTGCATAAGATCACTCAGAGCAACTGCTACTCACTTAGAAATTAAATCCTAAATTAGTCATTCTTACAAGTTAAATGTATAGACCAAAATAATGTGGGACCAAAAGTTATGACCACTATTTTGCATTGTACGATTTAATATACATTTTTAAAGTATATTTATATATCGTAACAATTTAAGTGAAATATTTGATTGAAAACGTACAAAGCAATCTCGACTTTTGTACCAGATCAGTGTCAAATTTTATTAGTGAAAATGTTGTATCTAAATTATTTCTTCAGTTTATGTCACAGCAAAAAATACTGTTTTTAAAGTTGTCTCAGACTTTTGGACCCCATCAATGATCGACTATTAACTTTTACACATTAATAAGCTGTTCATATAGACCTTTCATATATCTAGGTATTACATACTAAAATAAGACTAAGATCAGATTTGAATATAAACCTTCAATGAACCTCCTACTTATAGTACAAACATGAGAGTAAAGCACAGACTTTCTCTGCTTCTTCAACAGATCATGAAATATACATTGGTCACAGTTTATTTAAACCAAACTCTGCATTACGATCAGAAAAAAAACTGTAAAAGCACTCAACACTCCAGCAAATATTACCACAATCTGCAGGTAACAGGAGTCCTTCAATATCTCTTAAATCCAATAATCTCTTCGTTTAGGCAGTTTGTGGACAACGATACCTTTATTTCTCCTCTGCCAATGTTTTTTTGATTCCTCGTAGATCAGTTAGGCCATGATATTTAAAAGGTTTGCCTTCCATCTCTTGCAATGAGTGAATCTATAGCACCCGTCTTCAATCTATCTCTCCCAGTGCTGAATAATTCACTAGTCTAAGGTAACTAGATGCCCCTTCACACTTTGTGCACACAATACCACTGGACCTTCCATTGGAACCTACCCTACATTAACCTGAAACTGGATTGACTTGTATATAAGTGGCAAACACATGTCCACATGCTAATTGGACCATAGATAGACAGGGATATCATGGGGCTGACAGACTATTAATACAGAATAATTTGGAAGATATGTTTCAGAGACACTGAAATGTACCTAATACACGACCACTAATTAGTGCTCACTTAAAACACCACCAAGTTTAGACTATAAAGCACTGAATGGCATTTTGTACTGTACATGTAAAGATCTTTTTTTTTACTACAGAAAATATCTTTCTACATGTACTTAACAGTATACTATTCAGATCTATGAGTTACCCCATCATGTGATAATGCAAGCAAATGCAAATTTGCTAATCCATATGAACTCAAATCCCATAAGGCAAAGCCACTATGCTCAATTTTTCCCTTTGCTCTGTGGCTGTGACAGACGGAGACAAAGACATGATTATTTAAATATCCGCCACTAAGTAGTAGAAATTGTGTTGTTTACACAGAGGTCTTCCTTCTTATAGTAACGCAATCCTTTGTCATGAATTAATAATGACGCTTGTTTTTGTTCACCAAACTTGATAGGTCATTCATAATTGATAGAAGTGTGGGACAAGGGAGGTGAGGGGGTACAAAAATATTTGATCTATTAAAAAGGATAAAGCACTAACACAATTAATATTCAGGAGCAATTGGTGCATGTTATCATGGATGAGGAAGATGCTCTCACCTCTTCTAGCGCAGATGAGTTCATGAACACCACAGCTCCGCCCCCCACCTGAGGACAGGAAACAGCACTTGCAATCAAGAAAGTGCCTACTAACTCTCTTTGACGTCATCGACTTGACAATTCTACAATTCTACATGCGCAATACGAGGACAAAGTTCAAAATACTTAGCTGTTAAAATGTTGCCGGTGACAGTCATGATATCTCTCTTACATGCACTTGTGACACTGTCACACGTTTTAATCCACTCAATATGTATTATGATGATTTTATATATATTTGAGTTTTATGGATTTACATGATATCTTAGCCATTTTATTCCTCTTACCTGTTTTAATGCGTGTATGTCTTTAAATGAGTCTGGGTCTGCCTGTCATGAGACTGATCACATGACAGGAAATAGGAAATGGACAGTATAAAGGAGGCAGGATGACAAGCGAACACTCTCCCTGCATCCCAATGTTTCATAATATCCATCCTAAATAGTAAGTGAGATTAGACTAAGTGTGCCCCAAAGCATAGTATGTTGAAAAGAGTATGCCAGAAGTCCCCGGATGGTCTACTATTTCAGGTAGATTTTTGAAGTGTGGATCCGTGCACACTCTAATGGCTTATAATACCCACAATCCATTGCACTTTGACGAAGGATTCGGTTGAGAACTACAAACACAAATAAAAAGCATAAAAAAAAACTACAAACATGGTGGATGTGCACGACCTACGGTTAAGTAGAGAGGTTTAGATAAAGGGGGTTTAAGTTACTAATAATCAACATTTAACCTGTTAAAAATATTTATTTAATGTTATCTGTGTTATATTTCATCTGCAACAGCAATGTAAACTTTTATAAACATCCATTTGGTCGTTAACTTTTAAATGCATCATTAAGTAGAAAATATGAGCAGAGTTCTCCACATAAAGACCCGCGGCTGGCAGATCAGTGGGCTACTTCTTTTCTCTCCAGTACGGTAGGAAGTTAAATGAAATGAAGTGTGGAGGATGTTAACTGTGACAAGATGATTGACAGGCCAGTTTACAGTTACAGGGTGCGTGTATCTATGCGACAGAGCATCCGTTAAAGACGCAATTGTATGATATGATAGTATGTCCCAAAGCTTGCCTTCTCTTCTACTACACACTCAAAAGTGTGTACTTTTTCCTCACCAAAAAAAGTACATACTTTAAGGGCGTAGAATAAGTAGGCACATTAGGACGCAGCATCTCTGACTTACAAATGTGCTGGCGATCACCCATGTGGCCTGTGGAGTTTTATTCTGACTCACCTTTCCAGATACAAGCTTTTGGACTTTTCATCCTCATGTTGTTCAAAACCTATATGATTTTGTTATTTCGTTGGAAACACAAAAGTATGTCCTGCTCAGTCTTTTTTTATGCAATGAAAATACCTGAACACTGCAGGCCTACTGGATTTGTCAATGAATCATTCAGATCAGTTTTGTGAATTAAAAAAAAAATCTGCCTAAATATGACAGATTGTTTATTCATGAAAGAACACTCCAAAGAGCGCTAGAACAGGTCAAAAACTGAAATTTCTGGGGGTTTTTTACAGTGTTATTAAATCTAAAGATAAAAATCGTTTTCATATTCTGAAATAAAATAATAATAATGAAAAAAAAAATCTTAAGTGAAAATTAGTAATGTTGCAACCAAATGAAACAAGTTTAAGATTTAAGACTAAAACTAAAACCAAAATAGAAAGCTTATAGAAATTAAATATCAAAATTCCCCCTCATCTGGACTATGTATCCCAGCATCTGCTGTGCTGAATTATTTTGTAATGTTTTTAATTATTTATTTTTATTTTTTTAATGATACTTTTACAGTAACTTCTGAGACCTGACATCTTCAGTTCATGGTCATTGTTTGGATGGAAAAGATCAACCATGGCTTTCTTCAAAATTTCTAATTTCTTGTTTCACGGAAGAAAGTCAGAACAACATGAATGGGAGTAACCGCATTTACTTTTTGCATGAATTATCACTTTAAAAACAATTTCACCATATTATTGCCAGTCTCTTTAGTTAGAGTTGATACTCAGGCATTTCCACTTCTATTTTTCAAGAGTATGAGTTATTTAGGTTATTAAAAGTGTCTTCAGATTTTAACATTTTGCGTTTTCAGGTAATTATCTGACAATGTAAGCTATTGGTCTTCATAAACACACTAAATACAAACAATTATCATGGTATTGCCATGTTTTGGTCAGGGTAGAATGGTTATCTTTAAATTGAAATAGCAGCATGTCAATATGTTATCATTCAGTACCATTCAGTATCATTCAGCTATATATTATTAAAGCTGTGGCCTATTTAACGTCAAAATCCTTCAGGTATTTTATTTTTTTATTTTTTTTTTACTAATGGCAAAACACACCAGATGACAATGTATCAGCAAGTAGCTAAGCCATCTTGTAGTATTACAAATACAACTTCATTGGACCACCTGGCGGGTCAAAGACATGGATAACAGATGGAGACCGCGCTCACATGCTGCTATAAAAACACTGACCATTTCATAACGCGACGGCATAATATCAACAAACAAACAAAGCAGACTATGAATTCAGGATATTTCCGTCTTTGCACATACATTTTTTTTCAATGACTTTACTTCATTTAAAAAGCGTTATTGTATTGCATTTGGCTGTTATTTCATGCAATACGCTTGCATTACTTTATATGGCTGTGTCCGCATTAGCACAAACCAGCTAATGACCAAAATGCATTAAAACTTACACTTAATAATATAATAAAACCGCTTACGTTTAACACCCCTAATCGTCTCGCGCAAAAGTACGTTCAGACCCACCCAGTTCTATGTTGTTAGCTATAAAGATCACGGTGTACCCTACCCACGCTGGTCAGTGATGATACTCACCCTCAAACGCCATGATGCTGTGAATGGGACGTGATAAGGGGTGGTGTAGAGAGAAAGTGTTTCCATGCTGTTATTGAGAGCTATAGGGAGGAGAGAATGCACTGGGACAGTGGTGCATGCTGCAGCGCGCGAGACAAAAACATAGTCTACACTGTAAAAGTGGCAGCGTGCAATTGTAAGCTTAAGAAGCTACTTATCATAACGCTTAAAAATGAGTCGTGTTAGGGGGTGAATGAGGTAAGCTGGTTGATATCAGCTGCGGTTCCGAGTAGCTATCAGCACGGCTGTGATTCAGTCATATGCGGACGCTTGCAGATATGCTGCCGAGATTCAGAAGTTCCCCCCATAGAAGTCATAGAAATTATAACGTTGGCTTTAATTTAGTTTGAGCTACTTTTTAACCATTCACAGTAAAAGTCTCTTGTCAGAAGTGGGATTTGAACCCACGCCTCTATTCGGAGACCAGAAACCTCAGCAACTGAGAAGGTTTGATATGTGTTGAGTCTGGCGCCTTAGACCACTCAGTCAGTTTGACAGCTACAGTAAAGCACTTGATGACCAATGCTGGCACATAGTGCGCAAATGATATCACTTACCCAGTAAACACAACACGTTTTTACAACTTTTCACAACTTTGTATTTTGGCTGCAATTGGAGTGCTGTTGTTGTACAACGTTAAAAAAAAGTAACCAAACGTTGTTGAAAATACCAACCTGGTATGTTTTCTTTAAGTAGTCAAAAAATGTAAATGTCCCTTTTGTCTGCTACGAAAATGAAACTAGACCAATCTGCAACTTTTGGGAGACGTTTATTCAGTTGTTAAAATAACTAATCTGCACGTTGGAATATGGTACGTTGTGTAAAAATATCAGTAAAATAACAGTAACATTTTAACATTAAAGGGGTCATATGATGTTGCTAAAAATAACATTATTTGGTGTAATGAAATGTGTTTATGCGGTTT